CCTGAATCACTGCCTGAATTCATGACTGACTCCCTCGCCAAGTGATCCCTCCCAGAACTCAGAAACTGTTGATTTCTACAGATCCAAGATCTTCTTGGCTCACTGTATATATTAATACTTGTAAGCCACCCCACACTGTAAAAGGATGTCCCCCCAACTCTCCATTCTTATAGACTGCAGGAGTATCTATATACAGTACACAGCTTGGTGTAGTGGTTAAGTGCGCTGACTCTAATCTGGGAGAACCGGGTTTGATTCCCCATTCCTCCACTTGCACCTGGCTGGATGCCCTTAGGCAAGCCGTACTTCTGATAAGAGCTGTTCTTGAAAAAGAGCAGTTTCTATCAAGAGCTCCCTCCTCCCCCTCTTCTTCTTCTTCTTCTAATTCTAATATAGGGCCACAGTGGCTCAGAGGTTAAGATGCTGAGCTGTAGACTGGAAGGTCTGTAGTTCAGCAGTTTGAGACCCTAGTGCCACATGATGGAGTGAGCTCCTGTCTCTGGCCCCAGCTCCTGCCAACCCAGCAGTTTGAAAGCAAGAAATTACAAGCAGATAAATAGGTACCGCTTTGGTGGGAAGGTAACAGCATTCCGTGCGCCTCGGCATTTAGTCATGCCACCCCCCATGACCATGGAAACATCTTCGAACAGTGCTGACTCTTCGGCTTGGAAACAGAGATGAGCACTGCCCCTAGAGTTGGATTCGACTAGTTTTTGAACAAGGCAAATGCCTTTACCTTTAATTCTAATATATTCAAACTACCACAGTACAGAATTTCCTAATCTACAGTACAAGTGCCTCCAGAGTATTTCCATTATTTTATTAAGATGTGTGCATGTGAATGCAACAGTGAGAAGTGAGAGTACAATTAGTATATACATTCCTATGGGACCGCCTCTCCTAGTATGTCCCCCAGAGAGCATTACACTTAAACGATCAACATCTATTGGAAGTTCCTGGCCCAAAGAGCATTCGGCTGTCCTTTCAGCCCTGGCTCCAGCTTTGTGGAACTCTCTGCCTACCAACATCAGAACCCTGTGGGATCCGTTACAATTCTGCAGGGCCTGTAAGGCAGAGATGTCCCGCCAAGCATATGGTTGACGACAGCAACCGTTTTAGCATCAATGGGTATCAACAGTCTAATGGTTAACAGTTGCCAACAGACATTTGGTTCACTAACTGCTTACACACACACACACACACACACACACACACACACACCTGCTGTTATAGTAAAGTAAACTGGGGGTTAGAATTGTATTATTGCGCCATGTGGGTTTTGGGTATTTCTAGAATTGTATTTTTAGACTATTTAAGATTTTTTAAATGTATTTTTGTAGGAATCTGTTGTACACCACCCTGAGCTCGCTTGTGGTATAAAAGCCTAATATAATAAATAAATAAATTGCATTGTGCCAAGAACACGTTGTATAAATATGCTACACCTATGCATAACAATGGACTTTGTATATTAGTGGAAGTTGGATAAAATACTGGAATTTCAGCTGGAAAGCACCAATATCAACTTTGTATGTAGTGTGGTTCCTTCACATGAAAACATGAAGCTGCCTTATACTGAATCAGACCATTGGTCCATTACTACCACTCTACTCAGACTGGCAGGAGCTCTCCAGGGTCTCAGGGAGAGGTCTTTCACATCACGTCCTTACCTGGTCCTTTACCTGGACATTGGGGATTGGACCCTGGACCTTCTGCATGCAAAGCAGGTGCTCTACCACAGAGCCACAGCCCCTTCACCCAGCCCCATTCTACAATCTGTGCCAAAGTTGCCCAGATTCAGAACCAAAATAGTCAAGTTCTGTTATACAAATAGATCAGTCAAATTTAGCAAATATATTCGAATGTTTGTAAAATGCTGTACATTTGGGACAAATATAGATCACCAAAAACCTTCACCCAATGACTACTGGAACTCCTAATCTGGCTTCAGTTGTTTTAACAAGGTCCATCTATAGGAAACTCAATTGTTGCAGCTATAAGGGACAATAATCTTTAAAAAGGAAAAACAATGAAAGAAGTCTGATATTCTATGGATATTCTATGGAAATTAAATCCTGTGACAATACCAAATGCTGCACTTGTGGACTCTGGAGAGGCAGAACAGAAGTCTCCTAAATAAATAAGCTGTGCAGTGGACTGCAGAAAATACAATGCCTGTATCAGCATCCATTCAACTGCTGAGTTGCTCTGGACAGGATCAAGGAAGAAAGCCCCCCCCCCCCGAAAAAAGAACAGGGTTTCTGATGCTCAGGAAGCAAAGCCAGCTGTGCTGTTTGTTTTGCTAATGTGAGATCCTCAAGAGAAGCTGCTCTGCCCATGTTGTTCTATTGTCCATACAAAAAATCTGAGAGGGGGCTACACTGAAATGATTGGGAGCTGCTAGAAGAAAAGAAACTGTCCAAAAAAAAGCCACAAATTTACTATACATCTTCAACTGCTGACTGTGGAGCTAAGCAATAAGCAAAAGCTCTTTTATTAAACAAAAAACCAAAGAGGTCAATAGTGTGCGGGCACTGCCCGGCAGTACAACTAAGCCTGGTGCACAGTTGTAGACAATGTATTTGTGTGGAGTTGACAGAAGTCTTTTGTTACTTAGCCCTGACAAACCCTATCAGACACTTTTCGGAGAGACAGTACTTATGTACTGATGAGATCTGACAGTCTGACCTTTCCATAAGGGACAGGATAGCCTGCACTGATGGGACTTGACAGACTTTTCTTAAAAAAAATAGGCTCACAAAGACCTAATGTTTTAACAATGCAGTTCTATAGAAGAGGCACAGCTATACAGTAGTCTTTTTAAAAAATCTGCATCATTCTTGTGTGTAAAGGCACCTGAAACATTGTTAATACATCTCCTTCATTTTGCAGAAAGCCTCCCAGTGGGGTCAAAGCAAAGCTTATGTAATTAATGCATACAACTAAATTGTTGCAAGGATTTAACTGAAGACACAATAGTAACAGGCAGTTACCAAAATCAGTCTTCTGTAAAGGCTTTTTGCGCCCCCAAAAGACGACACTTAGGAAGCAGTTCTCACTCAAAACAAAAGTATAGGCGCACTCTCGATCAAGTCACGCAATTCGTTTTAGAATGGGTGCCTCATATACTTTGTGCATCTCCAGAAGTTAATAGGCAGGTATTTAGTTTACCCTATACCATCCTTGCTGACAATGGTGAGTGAGATAACTACCATAAATACCTAAATTCTGTGAGTGAAAATTCACTATTGTAGTAAATGTCATTGGTGTATCTGAGATTCTGAGCAAGACAGACAGGCCTATATGATGAAGAAAAAAATGGAGAGGGCATGCAGTTACACGAGGCTGCTACCAGAATGAGGCTCTAAGAAGCCTGCTGGAGAGCAAACTCTGCTCTGACTGACAGTGTACATTGGATGAACAACCAATTATACTAACTCTGTAGTATTCCTATTCAGTTGTGCAGTTATTATTATTAGCTGTTAAAAATATCCCATCCTTCTACCCAGGAGTTCAGGAGCTAAATTTCAGCTTCATAACAACTCTCGGAAGGGGGCTAAGGCTGAAAGATAATGAATGGCCAGGACAATTCTGTGACTTCCCCAGGTTGGGGGAGGGAGGACAGATACGTATCTAAATCCAGAACTCTAACCACTTCATAATCCTGGCTCAGGAACATTTAGTACTTTCATGCACTTTCTAAAAAGCACCTCAAAAGTGTTAGGGAACAAGCCTGATATTTGTTTTATGGACTGCTTATTGCTACACAATGGACTGTGCACATACACATAGGCTCAGAGAACTGTACGCTTTAGGTCACCTGTTGTGATGACACATAGGGGGTGCCTGCACATACCTTACATGTAAATAAGGTTTCAGCAACACAGTTGCACAGCCTGGTGAAGAAGCACAAATCTCCATTATTGTGAGCAAGGAAACAACAACTTTGAGAAGAAACAGCCCCCATGGCAAAGCTGCTTGTGGTCACGTATCACCCATCGATATGTAACTGCTTTGTTCCTGAGCTGGAATTTCCTGCCAGATGGACATTTGGTTATCAAAGGAACTGGCCAACTTCATCAGCACTACAATGAAGCATCCTGACACCTGGATTTCACACCTGTCCAGATGCCAATCCTTCGATTAAGGTTTTAGGTTACAATATTGGCCATCCCTCCTAGGTAACCTCCCTCCCTACCTGCAACCAATAGGATTGTTTTTGGGACGGACTAACAGTAGGTGGGTCAAGAGGCTGGCACAGTTACCACCCACCTTTTGGACCCCCTCTAAAAGGAGAGAACCAGTCACCTGGCCCCTCCTAGCTAGCATTCCCCCAAGACAACCCCTGTCTGCTTTTACCCCCTTGAGTCCCCCTTGCTATCCCCAACCCTTGCCTCTACTATTGATCTCTTGATGTGCAGTCAAGAGACCCACGCGTTCTGGCTGGTTCTGGTCGTGTGGACTCCCTTTGTTTTCCATTTCTTCCCATCCATTCTTCATTGGAACCACCAAGCTTCAGGACAGATAAGTATCGCCCTCATCACCCCTACCTGCTAATGCAACTGTGCTTATTTCCTACTGTAATTCTTAGGAACTTGATTGAATGTGTGAGTGCATCAGTATTGTTTGTATGAGACATATTTCTAGTAAAAGACATCTATTTTAACTACAACAGCCTCAGAATCCTTTACTGGTAACCCTTGGTGGGATCAGGACCTTGGTATAAATGGGCAAGAACCCATTTATAAATTGCCAATTGCTGTAAATAAAGCAATTTGGCTAACAAAAGTTAATGCTGATCATTACACCAACAATGTGGTAGGTCAATTCTTCCAGACATCAGATATTCTGCAATCCACCAGAAATTAATTATTATTTTTTTAAAAAAGTGGTCTTAACTGTGCAACACCTTCCCTGCAGCTCATTTTCAGTAGTTATGCATAGAACAAAGAATGCTCTGTAAACATACAACATACTAAAACAATTTTGGACAAACTTACGAATTTCTTCAACAACATCTGGATCACATTCTTTGTATTTTTCTATTTCTGACTTTAGTTGGTCTTTCTTCTGTCGAAGGGCAGCAAGTTCCTTTGTTAGGGCAGCACGTTCTGCCTAGGATCACATTTTCAAGAATCCCCCCCCCATTAAACATTATTATTTAAATTGTAGCAACTGCAATGCTAAATGACACACAGTAGACTTCTAAAGTGCAGTACCAGAAGTGTAGTTAAAGAAATAGGACATGTTGACTATACATAAGGCAGTGTACATAAGTAGTTTGTTCCAGTATTATACTGACCCTAAATATTTGCACTGCATATTTACTACAGACAGCAGGTTATTATCCCAGCATTAATGGTGGCAATGTGGTGGTACAAAGGTATCCCCCCCCCCACAACTTGATTTCAAGTGCAAACAGACCCCAGACCAGTTTCAACAGGCTTCTGTGTTGCTCCCCCCACTCTTGAGAATATACCAATGCCAGTGAATGCTGTCTTACAAGGAATGGATTGCAGAACACATCACCTCGCCCACACACCTTCAACTGTTAACATACAGAAGTTTTCAAATTATGGCTCTTTGTGTACTTTATTAAGTACTTACAGTATCTTGGCGCCCAATTTTTGATTTCTCAATGTTTTCCTGTAAACCTTCTTTCTTCTGGCTATATTCTGATAACTGAAAGAGGAGAGGAACACTTTGTCATTGCACTTGACCTCACCCTTATAATTTTTCATCTTAAGAAATTTATGTAGTTCTAAACAGACCTGTTCTTCTACAATAAAGCAGGATCTGACCAAGATGTGATTGTTCCATAAACTTTCTCTATTCACAGCATTTTTAAATACAGAGGACTTCATACTCTCTGTAACTCCTTTGTACAAGCACCCTGAGTGAAAGATCACTAATGTTAACTTCTTGTGCACATAACACAAAAACAACAAATAGAAAAACTCAAAGGCTGCTTCACAGAAAGATGCATTTCTACAAGCATAATTCATATTTTTCTGTAACATTTAAATGGGAGAAACACACCCAAGACCCTCAGGCATTTAACCATCAATTTTAATATGCACATTGTCTCTTCAAATGTAGAAGAGATGTGGTCAATATACTGTTGAAATATAGGCTTTGTTGTTGCAGTCAGCCCAAAATGTGGCAAGTCTGTTCTTGGGCTGATTGCAGTTTGCAGATGCAGATTGCTCACTTGAGCAAAAGAAGAGAAGGCTCTCCTTACTGCCCTAACCTCTAACAAGTTAATATGTAGACTGGCCTCAGCTGTTGTCCAATGACCCTGTGCTAAGTGACCTGCACAGCAAGCTCCCCAGGATGTGACAGAAGCATCAGTGAATAATTCAACCTCATGAGCGTGGAAACCAAAGGGAACCTCAGCTTGCAAATGCGGTAATTTGTCCACCAAAGTAAGTCCCGCAATATAGTTCGAGGGATGGTGAGACGACGGCCAGGGTTATCTGTGTGGACATGGAAGGCCCTAAGGAACCAATTTTGGTTTCATGTGTAATCTAGTATATGGCATCACAGCCATGGTGGCGGACAAGTGTCCTAACAGACATTGGAGAAACTTGGCTGAATGCCTACAACGCAACTGCAGGGACAGTACCAGTCACTTAATGTGCAGAGCACGGCTGTCAGATAGGAAGGCTTTGCCCACAGATGCGTCTAGGATGGTGCGAATGAAGTCAATGTGTTGGAAAGGCTGCAGTTTGGATTTTGCAAAGTTTACTAATAACCCAAGGGACTGCAGTGTTCTAAGGGTAAGGGAAAGATCAGCTGAGAGCTTGTCTGCAGAGTCTGCCACCAGAAGCCAGTCATCAGGGTATGGATAAACCATACACCCCTGGAGATGGTGGTGGTGGGCATTTAGAGAACACCCTGGGTGCCGAAGTTAGGCCAAAGGGCAGTACTGAGTATTGAAATATTAACCCAGCATGGGCAAATCGTAAGTATTTCCTACAGTCTTTGTGAATGGAAATGTGAAAATAAGCATGTGTTAAATCAATGCTGGCAAACCAGCAGCCCTTGTGAAGCAATAGGATAACCTCTTTCAGTGATAACATACAGAACCTGGGCTTTGAGAGGTATTTGTTAAGCTGGAGTAGGTTCAGTCTGGGGCATTGACCATCATCTTTCTTATCTATGACAAAGAAGAGCGAATAGAACCCTGGTGTTTTACTGGGTTCTTGGACCTGAACAACTGCATGTTTATCTATCAACAATTGTGTTGCTGGTGACAGTGTGTGTATGCCACTGGACTGAGGAAGTAGACGGAGACACCTGGGGTAAAATGTAAACTCCAAGAAATAACTTCGTTTTATTATGGACAAAACCCAAGCATCATCAGTGATGAGTAACCAAGCATCAGAAAACATTGACAATCGGTCCCCAAAGATGTAACTCCTTTCTAGTCATTGCACATCAGCACCCCAGTCAAAGGAATCTCAAGATGACCTATTAGCCTGTGCCAACTTGGGTTTAGAGCGCCTACTCCGAAAAGTTGGCTGATAATTGGGTCCAGTTCCCTCTAAGCTGAGTTAGCATGAGCTAGCTCACAGTCTTTTAGCCTTCGGTTCACAGATTTTTGTCTGAGCTCAGGAAGGATGTCTCCAGAGCAAGCTAATTTATGCAGCAGCCAGATTGCTCGCTCACAACTTTAATGCCAGTAACTCACAAAGTAGAATTTTGCTCATGAGACTCCACAGCTTAGAGGGAGCATTGATTGGGTCTAGTCGAGGTCTGATTGGGTTGGGACTGGAATCTCGATTCCTAATAACGGAAGGGCCTACTAAAGGACGGTCTGTGAAACAGGCGGGACCAATACCTGGTTTTTGGTTAGTTAGCAGTGGAGGTGGTTATCCCGAAGGATATCGCCTGTAATTTGTATTTCCAGATGCATTCCAAAACTTCATCCATTTCATCACGAAACAATTTCTTTCCCACAAAGGACAGATCTTCCAACTTAGCTCTAGTATCAGGGGGTAATGCCGAAGACTGTAACCAGCAATGGCGGCATAACACTAGAGCCGAGCAATCTGCATCATGGCAGGCCGCAATGACTTGTTGTTTCCCTAAATGCACGCCCTCTTCAACAATAGCCTTGGCCAACACCTGCTTCTCTTGGGGTGAAGCTTCTATATATGGCCCCAGCTTTCCCCAAAGTGAACAATTGTACAAGCCCATTACTGCACAGAAATTTACTACTCGAAGGCCCATGGCCCCCGACGAGTAAATCTTGTGATCCAGAGTATCAAGTTTGCATCCCTCGTTGTTAGGAGAGGTATGGGAACCATACTGACTACAAGACAGTGTCACCTCCGAGATAAATGAATTGGGCTTTGGGTGTTGAAATAAAAAGGAACAGTCAGAGTCTATAACTCTATAGAGCCCATCCAGGCACCTGGCAGATGGAGCTGTAGAAGCTGGATGTGTCCAAGCCGCCAATATGACTTCTTGGAGATCTTGCAGCAGTGGCAGCACAACTGGGCCCGAATCTGGTGTAAATAGAGCCCGCATTAAGGGATCTTTTGTCTTCGGTTCCAAAGCTGTATGTTTCAAGTCCAGGGCTTTTGCCACCCGGATTATCTGGTCAGCAAAGGATGTGAGATCCTCAGATGGTGAGGTCGACGACTTTCCTCCGATGGAACCGAAGCGAGTTTGGAACTGATATCCGAAGCACTGTTTCCCTCAGACTGACATCAGTCGGTTGTATGTGGGGTCATCCAAGGCATCCCGTCGAGAGAAGTGTAATTGAGCAGTCAGAGAATGGGGCGATCTGGAGCAAACACAGTGAGAGACCCGAGTCTCCAAAGAATGCCTGCGGGTGCAGGGGTACCACGGAGGAGGCATGTCAAAGGAGTTGAGCGACGGCCCTGGGCTGGAAGGATGTACAAGCAATACATCAGAAGAAGAGGATCCTCAACGATGGGAAGACCGTGCTGAATGCAGGGAATCATAGCCGAAAATCATCAGCACCGACGGAGATCAGTGCCAGGGAGACCTCGATGGAGAACAGTGACGTATCAGTGGAACTGATATCCGAAGCACTGTGGAACAGTGCCGTATCAGTGGAACTGATATCCGAAGCACTGTTTCCCTCAGACTGACATCAGTCGGTTGTATGTGGGGTCATCCAAGGCATCCCGTCGAGAGAAGTGTAATTGAGCAGTCAGAGAATGGGGCGATCTGGAGCAAACACAGTGAGAGACCCGAGTCTCCAAAGAATGCCTGCGGGTGCAGGGGTACCACGGAGGAGGCATGTCAAAGGAGTTGAGCGACGGCCCTGGGCTGGAAGGATGTACAAGCAATACATCAGAAGAAGAGGATCCTCAACGATGGGAAGACCGTGCTGAATGCAGGGAATCATAGCCGAAAATCATCAGCACCGACGGAGATCGGTACCAGGGAGACCTCGATGTAGAACAGTGCCGTATCAGGGAACAGCCTTCGATGCCGGACAACTGTCGGTACCAACAGAATCTCATCGCCAAGGTGAAGGGGATTGCTGACACCAAGTCGACGACAACCCCAGTGCCTGTTCCTCGGCGCTGGAGATGGCAGTGAACGCCGTTTGTGAGCACGTTTCTTCTTTTGCCTTTTTAGCCGGACGTTCAGACCCCACCAATGTTCTCTCTAAGCTGTGGAGTCTTGTGAACGGAAGATTTGTCTTCACTTACCGTGAAGCTTCCTTCTCGGTGGTCCAGGAGTGGGGCGGTCCTTCCATGACTCCTTACTCATGGGACTTAGCCCCTCCCTCTCTGCTTGCAGGGCCGGCCAAACTTTGATCCCAGAGGGGAGGGGCTTGTCCTCTGGCTTCCCAGTTCGTCACCAAGCCAACCTTCTCCCCATGATCCATGGAATCCTGAATGGATAAAAACATCCCAACACAACACCCCCTCTGCCCCCTCTCCAGAGGGCCTCAGGAAGCAAACAACACACCTTCTGTGCATTCTCAACATCAACTTTATTCACAGAAAGAACAAAGGATTGAAACATCCCCAACAACCAACAATGAACCATAAAACTTCATACTATAAAGACCCCCAGACTGTTCTGTATCAGTTCTGTACCTATGTCAGGGCTTAAACTACCTCCATGTCAGAGACCCAGCCAGCGATCACACCCCTTAATAAGCTCTGGAAGCCGTCCCCTCCAACGAGGGTGGGTAGGACCGCCCCACTCCTGGACCACCGAGAAGGAAGCTTCACAGTAAGTGAAGACAAATCTTCCGTTCTCCAGTGGTCCAGAGAGTGGGGCGGTCCTTCCATGACTCCTTACTCATGGGACTTCCAATAGCAGTACTCCCCAGGGTGGGTCAAAACGGCTTCCAGGGCTTACAAGGCATGCTGTAAAACCCTCCTACCAAAGGCCGCCTCTGCCGAGGCGAATTTATCAATCCGGTAGTGCCTGGTGAATGTATGAATGGATTTCCAGGTTGCTGCTTTACAAACGACATCTAGGGATGGGAAAGCCCTATACGCCGCCGACGTGGCTGCCCCTCTCAATGAGTGAGCAGTGATCCCCTCTGGTGGAACCAATCCCAATGCCTTATAGGCCTCCACAATACACCCCCGGATCCACCAACTCAGGGTAGAAGCTGAGACCTTCTTCCCCAAAGCCGACTTCCGGAATGACACAAAAAGTGCCTCTGTCTTCCGCCAATC